ATATCATCATAGCTATAAACATCATCTTTGCTATAAACGTCACAAATGTCGCAAACTGTTTACTTCAGCATTGACAGCTTCTTAGTGACTCGATACTTTGAGTAGTGAAATTTACTGTAAGCAATTTTATTTTTTTTAATTTTCAATTTTGTTAATTTAATTCAAAGTAATGGTCCGTGGAAAAGCTACAAATCAAAAACTACGCGAAATTATCATTTGTCAATACAGTACGGGAAAAACAATTCGAAAAATTTCTGATGATTTAAGTATTCCAAAAACCACGGTCTTTAATATAATAAAAAAAAATACGGCGAATCTGCCAATTTAGACGTTAGAGGTAAAAGTTCGGGAAGGCCAAAAGTTGTATCTCAGAGAGATTTACGAAATTTAGTGAAAATTTGCGCAAGTCTGCGAGAAGAAGTACTCTTCGCGAAGTAACAGTTAAATGGAATACTGTAACTGGTTTAAATATATCAAGAGAATATTGCCAAAAATATATCCATAAATGCGGTCTGGGGTTTTACAAGGTAAACTTTATTTTGTGTGGATAATCAATTACCTGAAGATTATTGATACAAATTCTTATTTAGGCCAAAGAAAAACCGCTACTGACAGAAATTCATACGAAAAATCGCTACAATTGGGCAAAATCTAAATTATCGTGGACACAAAATGATTGGAATAAGGTCATATTTAGCGATGAGTCTAAATTTGATGTTTGCGTTGGAGATCATCGAAAACGAATAATACGAAATAAAGCAGAAGCCTTTCATAAAGATTGCTTAAAGAGGGTTGTTAAATTTCCTAATGGGATTATGGTTTGGGGTTGCATGTCAGCAAGAGGTTTGAGCAAATTGAATTTTATAGATGGCACTGTTAACGCCCAAAAATATCAACATATACTTGAGACCTCACTTTTTCCTAGTGCTCAAGAATTATTTCCAAACGAAGACTATATTTTCCAATAAGATGGAGCATCGTGCCATTCAGCAAAATCAACTAAAAATTGGTTCGGTAATAATAATATAAAAGTTCTATCCCATCCTGCAAGTAGTCCGGACCTCAATGTTGTAGAAACTGTGTGACATAAAATTAAGCAATATTTAAGAAACCACCCTCAACGAACAATTTTTGATTTGCGGACAAAACTGCAGGAAATTCGGGATAATTTTTCTCCTCAAATGTGCCAATCTTTGGTAAATACAATGCCATTAAGAGTTCAGACAGTTGTTAAGGCGAAAGGTGATGTAACTCCGTATTAAACAAATTTCTTGTTGTGCTGTCCCAATATATAGTTGTCAGCAAATTTGGCTTGATTTTGGCAAAATAAGCTATTATCTAAAGTGATTTGTTTGCAAAGTTATAAAAATATAGTAAAATTATCTAGATCATATTGTAATGTTTGAATTTAGAATAATAAACAAAATAAATTGAGTCGTTTTAACAAATTACTATTTTTATTGCAAAAAAAGACCTTGTCCCAACATATAGTTGTTAGGGCTCGTATGGTTTATTTTAAATTGTAACATGCAGTTCATAACGATAATTTGACTCGAAATACCAAGTGTGTAGTATTAAATTATTTGTAAGAAAGTGCTTTTTCCAAATATGCTAACAAGCCACCCTCGTTCCATATGAAAAAATTGAGATATGATTAAAAATACGATTGGGGCATCTTTTAACCGGCCAGGACAAGACACTAAAAACATTAGACGATCAAATCTAATTTTCCAAGGCTCCTTGATTAAAAATTAGTGTTTTTAACACAGCCATGGCACATAGATTGAAATTGAATGAAATTTAAAATATAATTTGTTCTTGAGCGAATATGTCAAAAGTTGACATATTATATGTCATTCGATTCAGAGTGTCATTTTCTATCTAATAAAGTAAAAAAATACCGAGGGTGCAGTTTAAAAATCAAAAGTTGTAGTCATTTTCGGTGAAACAGGAAGTGGCAGAAAACAAATGAATACGGCAATCAATCCTAATTTATGTCATATACTAACATACCAAATTTCTTTTTTTTTGTGAAAAAATAAAAAAGTTATAGGGGTGAGCCACTTCCGAGACGCACCCTGTATAGGATTTGAAGTTGAACTTTAACCTTCAATAACTTTCAAACAAGTCGGTTACATGAAAAATCATATCAGACCTTTTTTGAAGACCGTTCAATTTACTACAAGAATATGTATTGATTTTTACAAAACGCTAATTTGTTAGAACGCAATAAAATTAAAATAAAATTGTTTCCCCATGTTATTTAAATGGGAAACAGAATAATACATATAACTTAATATTAATATTTAAGGCTCAAACTTTAACAGATTTTTTTTCAGCATCCTGAATGAACTGGTATGGTAACTAAAAAAATATATACTTTTTTTGGTGCACCCTATTGCACAGTATACAAGCACATTTTTAGTCACACTGAGACCCTCTTAAATTGTCTTGATAAAACATTTTTGAGACAATATTTTAATTTAACGAAAATACGTTTTTTAAGAGGTCTTAAAACCAGAATGGCTTTTTAATATGCTAAATTATTGGAATAAGTCTGAAATATGCTCGAAAAATATTTTTGGACCCAATAAAGTTCATGTCAGATTTTAATAAAACATATTAAAAAAATACTTTCCATATATTAACTCATTTGTATTTTATTATTAAAACTCATTCTCGTGGTATATTGTGAATAAAAAAATATTATATAAAACATTTTTAATAAACGTAAAGTAATTTACACTGGAAATGGGGAGTATATAGTTATTTAATTTTAAAATTGCATCTATTAAAAATATCAGTCAGCACAGTACAGTAAGTCAAGTCCTCTATTATATTTGAATTTTCTCTTTATATCTCACCTTGATTATTCGGGAAACACAAACAAAAATTATTGTCAAAACAATTCTAGTAATCTCTAAACTATCTTTCCCATCTCACAGCACATCCTTAATCATTGCCTCTTATACATTATTAAAGCCCTCATATTATTTTACCTCAACTTTCCTAATAAATTTCCTAATAAACTCGTAACCTTCCATCCCTACATCCCTTAGAACTCTCTGAATAATGTTACATACATTGTTCCTCAGTTATAGCACGGCAAATAAATTTATATCTACAGATCATTCCAAATAAACTTTAGTCACGTGATTAAGCATGACCGGCACAGCGTTGCCCACTTTTATATATTTTCTTTTATCAAAGTATTTTAGGAACCAAAAATAAATTAATTATAAATATATAAACATATATTATTTACATCAACAAAACTCACCTTCTTAACAGCACTTAAGGGACATAAAGGGCCATTACTACTGCTTTCCAGTTCAAAATATTCTAATAAAGTGCGGTGGGTTTTTTACGGCTATAAAGTTATCTTGTACACTTCGCACTAAGAGAAGTTCTAAAAAGAACAATATTCGACTGCAAGCTCTGCTAGTAAACATTCTTAAGCTTAAAGTATTATTTGCCACTATTTATTTAAACCAAAAACTCGTAATACAAAACAAAAGTGTCAAAACGAATGACAGTATCAGGAAATAAATAAATAAATGCGGCAATTTGACATTTTTTACACCAGAGCTACCACCTGAATCCCTAGCGCAAAATTTAAATCCCAGTTAGTCAGCCCAGCGTCGAATATATCCATGGTTGGCAACAATGAATTTAAAAATCGCGCCCTCGATTACGTAACTAAAAGTTTAATTGATATCAACTATATTAGCTACTGTTAATTAATTTTCTACTAATTCGAACACGTGCCATCGTCGGTCGCTTTTACCATTACCGTGTTCATCAACTTCTCGCTGACTCTGTTTCAATTTCGTAATGAGAGTGCGTTATATGTGTCCGGTTGCTGAGTGTAAATATTAATGTTTGCCCCGTGCATTATATTCCGAAATTTCAGGAATTGAACGCCAACCAGTTTAGTAAATTAAATACTATTAGGTATTATGTGCGATTTAACTGCTGCAATTAAGTTAATCAATCAAATTCTATTTAAATTAATGTATTTAAGTTACATATCTCGGTATTATTTGTTTCTCAATTTACACTGATCGGTACGAAATACAGTCATTTTAAAGTGTGTTATATTTTGTTTGAGTGGGCCGATTTTGAATATTTTATAAGCAATTTATATTATTTGACTTTTTAGCTTCTTTTATAAGTGGAAAAGCAAAATCTTATATTGGTGAATTTTTTAAACACTCTGTGGAATGGTTTACCGAAGTTAGGGATTTATAAAGGAGATGCACGGTTAGGGATTTTTCCCCAACGTGCATCACGTGTGCAAAAGTTGATTGCTGGTAACCTCCTAAAATTCCTAAAACAAATCATCTCTGTAATGCGTATAATAAATACTTATATAAAATCGAATAAGAAAAATATCTGTATTTATACTCACCATATGTCCTTTCTTCTGCTTTTTTAATTATAGTACTATAAAAACTTGAAGAATGCTTTAATAAAAAAACTGCAGAACAAAATCCAAACAATAAAGTAAGGTTATATTCTCATATTTGACAGAATATCAAATAAATTACGGAAAATTTTCAAGCAAAAAACGAAATCTTTGTAAATGTGAACCACATCTGTTTCTTAAAAGTTTCGAAAAAATGTGACACCAATATATTTACTGTTATAGCTTATGTAGGGAAACCATATTTTGGTAAAATGTTTCGAAACAAAAAGCCATTTATGTGACGAAACACATGTATCAAAAATGTGACGAAATTGTTTTGTAATGTTTCTCAGCAGAGATTTTGTTTCGATTTCGTGTCTAAAACTGCTACTTGGGATATTTGTCTAGTACAGCACCTCAATAGAGCTCTTTGTATTCGGCTATAAACTGTAGGTCCCCAGTACTTGTGAATACTGATGGCCATACATCAAAAGTATCTACATGCGAGAGCCAATGCTCTGTATAGAGCATGACACTGAAAGAAGAAGATTTATAAAAATATGCGAACTAATTCTGTTTTACTTTGTTACAGGTCTCCTCCGATCAAATTGAAAAACTCCCACCCACTTCCTACCTTATCGACGATGATTCCTACCTGATCAACAACACCATCATCCACGTCCGTCTCAAACTCAACCAGGACATCAACATCAACGGCCCCAACGAAATATCGTGCGTCTCGTCTACCGACGGTATCGGCTTGTCCATGGCGCCATCTCTACGCACCGTGCACAAGTTCTCTATATTCGACCAGAACCAGATCGTCAACAATCAGAAATTCAGCTGGGCCGAGTCGATCTCCTCGACGAATCATCAGAATCGCTACTTGACGCTGTTTTTCGTGGCGTTCGTCTACAGGATCCTCAATTACGTCAGGTTGCAGTAAGGATTCTAGCAAGAAAATTGAGTTTGGAGTGATCGCAATTGTGGTATATGTGAATACGAATGTATAAAGTCAATAGACCGTCAGATGTTGCGGTGTTATAAGTGAATATTTCAATTATATTTTACTGTTAGTACAAATATGTGAGTAAAAATTCCTTGAAGTGAATCTGTTAATGCCTGTTCCGTATTTCATTCTCATTAAATTTGTTTATACCCAAATACACGGTCCTGCAAAGTGCGTCGGCTATTTACAGTTGTCACCGGATCGTCTATACAGGGTGAGTCTTGGAAAAGTGCAAATATTTTCAGGGCTGGTAGATCTCGATAAAAGCAACAAATTTTCTCTATGCCGTTTTTCAAATAAGTAAAAAATAACCCAATTATTCAAGTTTGAAAATTAAAAAAAAATATACATTTATGTAAAAAAAATTGAGAGCCACCGATTTTTTTTTTTTTTTCGTCCTTTTTAGTGCCGTAACCAAGGAAATATCAGAGATTAAGAAAAAAAATTATACCGGGAAAAAATGTGCGGTAAACAGGCAGTTCTAAAAAGTTTTCTAAAATATACAGGAAAATTTAAAAGAAAATTGAGAATTTTAAAAAAAATTTTGCAAAAAAAATCATAGACGTATTCCTGGGGTCGAAATATATCATCACTAAAAATATCTGCACTTATTTAAGACTGACCGTTTATAAGAGGAGAAACGGTTTGATATAAAAACGCATTCTCGATAAAAGTTTTAGCTCTTTCTAAAGGTGCGTATTCATTATCCGAACGAATGAACGAACGAATGTTCGCTAGTGGTATTGACGGGGACCGTACGATAGAACCGCACGAGAAGTCCGGACGCGAACGCCTTTGATGTACCTACTCGAAACGGATGGTCGAGCGAACGAACGAACGAACGGCCGCATACGTTCGGTCCCCGTCTACATATACCGCACTTTCATTCGTTCGTTCGTTCGGATAATGAATACGCACCTTAAAATGGTTAATTCCGTTTATAAACACACTGGCAAAAAAAAACGGCCACTAAAAACTAGTCCCAATTTCAAAGTTGGATTTCTCGCGAATCGCTCATTAGATTTTGATGATTTTTTTTTTAAATTGTGAATTAATTCCTTCTTAACGGATGCTCCGCCAGAATTTTCTATTCCGAATTTATTTTGAGCATATACAGGGCACAACAATAAGACGAAGTTTTTTGCCCGAACTTTGTAACACCTTGTAGGGTGCAGCAGCTGTAGTAGCCACAAAACATCCCCCTTTAGAACTTTTTCTTTAATAACCATAAACGGGAGTAAAAGACCAACCGCCCGAACAAACACTAGAGGCGCCACCGGTCATCAAATGGCTAAAAATTGCGAAAATTTAGTAATCTAATTTTGACACAAGGGGTCGCGCTTAACTTTTTTAATTTTAATTCAATATTCATTGTTTTCAAACTATATTATTAGACTGTGTTGTGTTTTGTAAATGTATAAATATTTTCTTAATATAAAGTTGCATTATATAAATTTAAATTATATTACATACGTATTTAAAATTCAAATTTATGACATATGTATATGTCAGTTGCCGTTTGCCCTCTAAAATATCATCTTGATAACAAAAAGTTATTGTCGGAAATAGTTAAAATCATCTTAAAATATTAAAATTTACAAATTATAATTAGATATTTTATATTATTTCAAAAACAAAAAAGGAATGGTAAAGCGTAATGTTGATACGCAGGTGCAAAACAAAAAGTACCGTTATATTTTTCAGTTTTCGTTGTCAGCCGCGGAACTTTCAGTGATTTTAGTGTTGTCGAATATTTTTATTTGTGAAATAGAAATATTGCGTTTGGATTGCAAAAGTAAAAGTGGAAGTTTTATTGCAATGTAAGTAAGCGTTTGTCCATTATATATTTCACTTTTTTCATACCTACTAAAAATATACATAGTATATTGAAATTTTGTAAGTCGCTTTATTTAAAAATAAAAACAAGCTTGTAATCCTGTAAATGACATAATTTTTATGTAATATATTCCATTTAAATGTAATATATTACTTTACAATTAAAAAAATATAAATTTAAAAAATAATATAAAAATATAATATACAGGCATTAATTAAAATTTTTAGTATGCGAACAAACACGAGAGGCGCTTTATTATTTACTTTCATTTCTTAACATGACAGACGAAGTTCTAAAGAGGGATGTTTTGTGGCAGTAGCTATTCTTAAATCAAATCACATCGTAGCCTCATCTTTTGTGAGCATTTTGTTTTTTTAATCAAGACATTACCTCTGCTTGTATTTGGTTTTAAAACGAACGTCTCGGAAAAATGCTTCGCAGGCAGAATGTTTAATCTATAAATAATCAAGGCGACATAGACGAACATTTGCAATCTCACAACAACGGTTGTCAAATTAAAAAATGCCATTATCTGTGACGGATGTTGCTCGTAATTGAGGATGGCCGAAGTCAACGTTATGTGTCCGATATCCTGGGTATACCTCGAACAACAGTCCAGGATGCCTGGAATATGGAAACAGGAAGTGGCCGTGAAACTTTTAGTGGCCGGTTTTTGTTGCTGGTGAATGTATTTTTCAATTTTTTTTGTTAAAAATATTTTTTATAAAAAAATAAAAAGTTTGAAAATATGATAAATTGCTTTTTTAAAACCTTGAAATTAGTAGTCCCAATAAGCGTAAAAGCTTGTTTCCCTAATATCAATGCAACATCCAGAACATCAAAATAAGTGGTAGTGGAGAGAAATATAAAAACATATTTAATAATGTTGAACATACACACAGAAATGAAATATTTTTCTACGTAACACGGAAGTCATCTTTTTAAAATTAATTTTCATATTTTATACCTACTTCCTTTTGCTTATGATGAAATACGGAACACGCAATTATACACGGTAAAAGCACGGCTGCATTTTGCTGTCTCTCGATTATTCTCAAGTTTTTTCGCAAAATATGTACTTACTATTAATTAGGAAGTGTTAATTAACTAACACATCATATCACGGTATCCTACTTAGAACACATTTAGACCAAAAGTTTTATATGTGATAAATGTGTATAATTTTTCTGTTTTTTTATACGTGTATAACAAGACTGAATGTTTTAGTTTATCGAGGTTGATTTTGTTGTTAGATATTTTATGGTTAGATTGGTGCCAAATGTTATGTTTTTACAGTAAAAGTATGATAAAAATGTTATATGATCAAGCGGGCTCTGATAATTGACATTTAAAAAATCTAATTCAATTCTCTATAAATTTGGTTTATTTATGGTTATCATCCAAAGCAGGCTAGATCATAAAGCATTTTAGTTTTGTATTGTTTATCATTGATGTCATCCATTAAGTACTGAGCCCAAATATTTACGGAATACTATACTACATTACATACAACTATACTATACAGGGTATCCCAGAAATAAGTGCAAAATTTTGGGTGGTAGATCTCGATAAAAGAAACATATTTTCTCTTTATCGTTTTTCAAAAAAGTCCCAAATAACGGAGTTATTTTACTTTGAAAATTTCCAAAAAAAATTATTTTTTGCTTAAAATTTGAGAACCATTGGATCTTTTCTGGATTTTCTTTCTTGTAAATTTAATCTAGTACGTATGTTGCCATATTATCAAGAAATGATATTTTTTAACTAAAAACTAAAAAAAAATTCAAAAAACTTTTCAAAAAATTTTGAATTTTCAATTTTTTTTTTCGCGAAAAAAACCTTATAGGCGTGTTTTTGGGGTTGAACTATACTATCAGTTAAAATATTTGCGCTTATTTCTGGGATACCCTGTATAGAATGTTTTAAAAAATATGTGCCATCTCTCGTAAAGATATTTCTCACGTAAAAATAAGATTTATTTCTTATATGAACATAGAGCCCGATTCTGCCTTATTTCGTAGCTACAGGGTGTTAAAGTCTTCATTTTTTTCGATTTATTATAATTTTCTTTTAGATTCGAATGATATTTTGAGGGTAAAATATGTATTACATATTTTAGTATCAAATGAGTGTCGACAGATTTACCAGTGACGTACATAAGGCTTTAATCCTGTACAAAACAAAGCGAAATCAGACCTATGTTGATATAAGACATAAATCTTATTTTTACGTGAGGAATCTCCCCATGAGAGATGGCACATATTTGTAAAAAGATCCTGTATTTCTTTTAAATAAATGCTTTAACACTAATTTGGACAAGAAAAAACTGATTTATTTATTTGACTAGAACTTATGGATGACATCGCATATAAACCTATATCCAGTTTATAAGAATATGCGTCTCAGACACTATCAAGTTATGTGAGACCAAAATATTTCTTTCCTAAAATACAAAAAAAGCATATTTCTTCTTTCTTTTATATATAAAAAGATAAAATAAAAGGATTCGCTCGTTCGGTAATCAAGAGAGAAGAAAGATCCGCAACCATAAAAATAAAAGAAAATTCTAATCATAAATTCTTTTGAGAAAGGCGGTAATGAAGTGGAAAAATACAACATTTTTTTAAGAGCAAAAAAAATCTCTCACTATTCTTTTCTTTCTGGTGCCGTTATCCGGTGAAAAGAATTCTATTACTTGGGTATGCGCCCAAATTACAGAGTAGGTTATAAGGACTATTTATACGAATTGCATTGGATAAAATGTAGCTTTCATTTTCTAAAGATGCGTCGGAGGATGCATTCACTGGCACTGGAATGAATTTTTCATCGTATAAAATAAATTTAATATACGAGAAAATTGTGTATTTTAGTTTCTTATTCAGGTTAATTAAATAGAAAGTAAATAGGATTTACAATATTTTTATTTTCGTAAGAATCGTACAGGGTGTCCATTTTGGTCTGTTTTATGAGGTTTCTTTTTTAAGAGTAGAGATACAAAGTTGCGGTTTTCACAACACTCTACTAAAAAATGCCCTTTGTATCTTAGTTATCTTGTAATTAACTTTTTTTACATAAGGGCACTGATCTATCAATATAAAATATTTTCAAAAATTCTAATATGATTTTTTTTATCTGCTGTTTATTTATATCTTGAAATACGTTTGGTAAGAACTGGATATAGGTTTGTTACTGTAAAATAGATTTTAAAATAGTTATCCTATTTTTGTTATGAACTTGAATTGAAATTAACAGAAATTAAACTCCCGAAGATGTTTTAAACGATGTAAATAGCTCAGACGTGTATGTATATACTTCAACTACTGTTGGCAATAATACCGAGACTACAATATTCCAAGTAGTTATTTTATGTAAATGTAGATTGTAAACTATTTTGATATGTATAACGAACTTAAT